AGACTGGCGGAACCTGTACGGGAATATCGGGTTCCTTGTAGGTAAAGTAGCCAACGAAGACAGAATGGAGAACGTTGTTCTGCGAGTCAACTACCTCGATGCTAAGGGCAACCTTCAGATAACGCATTCTGTGCGGAATCGTAGCACGAAGATGATAACGGTGATATTTTTCGGAAATCTTGGAGACTTGAGTGGTGACTGCTGTCCAGCCAATGTTCAGACGTAGATATATTTGTTCTCGGGTAGGATAGTAGAAGTAAAGTTGGACAAAAATAGGGACACCGGCGTTGCCTTCGGAGGGATGGTAGTTGAGGACAGAGATTATAGGCAAGTATGGGTAGGACATGGCAGTTGGAAGGAAAGACGGGTGGAAACTGGCAGGAATCATGCACGCCAAAGTCAACCTCTGCACTCTTTCAAATAGGGGTCTTGACGCTTATTTATTTCGATGTCTGTTCTCAACTCGTGCTAGCGTCAGTCACCGATCGCTATAGCACGTACCCGAGGTCCATCATACATGAAGACTCGAAATATTGTTTTTTTCATATGTGCCCGACTATTTGATGATTTTAATACAGGTAAGATGTTGGCATTCGCAGCGTCCGTCTGTCCAAATTAGGATCACTGGCGGCACATGCCCTTCACCCGATATGACTCGGCCGCAGAGAGCGGGCCACAAACAGCCCCGTAGGCCTCCAGTGCAGATACCACCTCCGCTACCTCCGCCACCTCCAACCCTGGCTGCCATCTCGTTCACCTGCTCAGTCAGTAGCCTGAACACGTCGAATACCGAAGTTGTGTGCAGCACCTGTTTTTCCCGTGGTCCAAAGACACTCATTGCCTCGATGCTCGGCTCGTCACGTCGGCCAGCGCGCAGGAAAAGATATGCTTGGAGCACGTCGGGAATGACGACGCGTACAATTGATCATCCTCGCTGTCCGATCCATTGGTCGAAACCGGGTTCTGGTGGGTCAGGGTCAGGGTCCATCCCAGTCAAGATTAAAAGAACAGGCCCGGCCCCACCCTCGCCTGGAGAGGTCATTCTTCACTGTTGCATTTGTTTCAGATGTCCTGAGATCGCAGCTAATGTCAGTTTCAACAACGCGAACAGAACGACTGACGAGCACTTGCATTTCCTCCTTATTCAGTCCACACAGTGAACAGCAGTGTGAGTAAATGTAAACCATAAAGGTTGATGATGGTCAAGGCCAGTTCTTTACGCGACCGCATCGTTCAATAACAGAAAAATCTATACATGACAAATGTACCATTGACTTCCAGTGCACCAACGTGAATGAGGTTCCATTATTTGGTTCTCAGCCATCATGTGGAGAAACCCATTCAATCGCTTTGAGCGTATTCCAGACAATATCACCATCCTTTCAAATGAACGCTCTCCTGAGGGTATCTTCACCGTGGGACCCCAGTACGCGCTGCCTCGCCCCGGCATCAGTGCTATCAATTCGTCCTCGAGGTCGACAACATACCCGTTCTCTTCCTAGAGATATACTTCGGGCATGTATCGAGGAGACGCGGCAGATAACCATTCGAGGAACAGATTCTTTAACTCGCACGACCTGTGTTGTGCTCTGAGGTTGTACGGGAGCATTGCCATGAGAAGAGACTCTCTGTCTATACCACCCATGATTCGCCTATGTAAATCGTATACCTTTCATGTCCTACCCACTTTGTTCCCATATTATCCTTACAAAAGAGGAAAGAATTTTCATCAGTTGCTTGAAAATCAGAGATAGTTGCAAAGATCGTCGCGCCACCATGCAGGGAGTATCTCAAAGTTGTTCTGTTGCTCTCTTGGGCACCAGAAAGATGAGTGTGAGACAAGGAAGAAAAATTTAATGTCTAAAAGCGAAATGAATTTCCATTTGCAAGGAACCAGCCTCAATCGTGTTACTCAGAAACATATCATCGCGTATACTAGCCAAATACAAATAATCCAGCATCGCCTCGGAAGTTGTCTATAGAACAGTTTTAAGTGATCCATTTGCAGTATGAGCACGAAAATGGGCACCTTGATGGCGTTGTCCGTGTCCTTTCTACGAGGATACATCAGGATACAACTTGGTCGTGGTTTGCCAGATGTCTGAGAAGAAAACAAAGGCTCGTCTTCAGGGCTGGTCATTTGAGATTAGTACAATGACCATACCAACTTGCCAGCTTCCAAGCCAGCTCTCAATGAACTCACCCCACGGCATCAAGGACTGGGAAGCACCAGTATCGGAGGTCCGAGATTGGACCTATACCCTAGTGAGTACGATCGCATATGCCGACGAGTCGTCGCTGATCGCCACATTGCCGATAGGCACTTTCGGCCTCGAGAATGTTGTAGCGTGGAGGGATAGGGCATTGGCGACTCCTCGGAGTGAGAGAGGTGTGACGCTGCTTACCTGTGAGGGAGAGATTTTGGTGAGTGCATTGTTCTGGTACCGAAACTGGGGGCTCATTGGTAGTAGAGGAATCATATGACAGTCACCGAGCAATATCGACGTTGTACCGAACCATGCACCACTTATGCATGCTTTCGATCCCGGCGATGCCCCAGACGACGCGCCGACACTGAATGCTCGTGAGTGGGACAGGTGGTTCCTTCTGACGCTCCTCGGCAAGCAACGCCACGACGACAGGAAGGCGTCGGAGGAACGAGAGGTGCTCTGGCGCGCCATACACCACGACCCACTCACTGAGCCCAACGACTGGTTGGACTTCATGCACAGCAAGAGGAACGATGAGACCCAGCACCATCGCGCCGGTCGCGATGAACAGGCAAATGAGATATATAACAATATAACATCCATCAGTCCATCGGCGTTGGCGACGACGATGCCAGACCACTCATACCATCCGCAGATGCCTCGCCACCAGCAAGAGGCACACCAAACAACCTATCCAGCCCCACCGCCTTCGTCTCTCGCCGATGGATATACCGCTCGATCCTCAAGTTGATAGGATTCTTCAATCAGCTGTGTAATACCTATCTACAGAGTAGAGGAAGGTTTGGGAAAGCGTGCGGCGAGGCAGAAGATGTAGCTATAACGTTTTATTCAGTTTCTTCAAGTAATGATACACATGATGAAACGACCTTTGACAGCTTCCTACGACCGTGAGCAAGATATCTTCACACCGGTAGGTATCGGGTAGGCGCCTCAAGGGCAATCTGCGGTCTTTTCCATCGGT